AAAAAAAAAAAACTAAAATGAAATGTGTATTTTTGTTTTGGGTTTCACACATATCTTTTAAGGGCTAAAACAAAAACAGAAAAACAAATAAAAAATATAGGGTTGTAGATCTTTCAAAGATGTACAAAAATCTTTTTCTTATTTAATTTTTTAAGAACTTCGTATATTTTTAAAAAAATCAAAACCATAAAAAGAAAATTAAAAAAAGAAAAAAACTTTAAAAAACACACACACACACACAAAATTCGGCCTGTAGCAGGTTGCATGAGTCTTGTGTCAGTTGGTTGAGAGAACCCAGGCCCTAGGCCGCCTGTGTGAATGTATGGAAAGTAGGCCCTGGGCTGGATACGGGTACTGGGCCAAACACAGGCCAAAGGCAATTGGGGGCATGCAACCACCTCAGTCCCAAGGCCTGTTCTCGTTCGTGCTGGGCCTCAGGCTACCGGGGCCTATTGGAAGCTTCCTGGGACGGAACACAGGCATGCCATTTCAATATAGCAAAGGGCCTGCCTCCACATTGGGCATTCGGGTGGTGGCTGCATGCTGCGTAAGCACTGCCGTGTTGTAGCTCGCTGACACTCACGCGCTGACGGGCGAGCAGGAAGGAGCAGGCAGCCATAGTTGAGCTGCGCTGCTGTAAGCTGGGTGTGGCGCAGGGTGGTCCTTGGGTGCAAGTGGCATCTGTGTGTTGGGGAACGAGGTTGTGAGTAAGGCGAGAGACATACCTGGTGCTGGAAGCTTGCGACATTGGTCGTTGTATGCTCGTACTTCGGGAAAGTTGTTGACGTCATCTTCGACATTGTAGTCTAGGCTAGATAGGATCTGCCATCTGTAGTCAGGACGCCAAGCGCCGGATAGGATATCAACATTGGTTCTTCATTGATGATGATGATGAAACTTTACCAACATTGTCAATTATGAGCTCTTGGTGTCTTGTTATTTGGTGAAACTCGTGATGCAATTCTGCTGTTGGTTCGAGGTCCTGACTATCTGGTCTTGTGTATATGATGCTGTTTGATTGCTGAAGTTCGCTATTGCTCACCTTCCTTGCACAGTAGAAGAGAAAAAAAAAAAAACACAGACCCAAATCGCCCACCCAAACCCACATCGCCCGCCCCCAGTTTTCAACGGGAAAAAACTATATCCCTCAAAAGGGAAACAATTGACACACGCCAACAATCATGCACACACACACACACACACACACACACACACACACACACACACACACTTGCAAACACACATATACACAAACACACGCGCATACATTCATATTCATGCACAGACACATTCTCACGCGCAGGCACACACATACACACATACGCGCACACAACACACCTACACACACATAACTGGGGCATTGGGGGTTGGGGGATGTGGGGGCGCATGGGAGGTGCTTCAGGGGTTGGGGGATCTTTTTTTTTTTTTTTTTTTTTTCCCTAGGCCCACGTGTTCAGGACCCCGCGCATCAATTCCGTTTTTCCGAAAAGCGCGGGAGCGGCCCATTTTCGCGTTTAACGCGAATTCAACGGGATTCAATGAGAGTTTAATTCCCCCGTTCTGCGTTAAAAAGATACACAGAACAAGGCCCCTGCACGACGATGACACGCTTCAATCGAGATATGGACCATATTAAAAAATAAAATAAAAAAAGGAAAGAGAGAGAGAGAGAGAGAGAGAGA